ATTGTATGAGAATATGTGTTGTAGCTAATTATACAACATTCTATTCTATGTAGCACAATATAAATAAATAGAATGATATTGTTGTTCTATGTACCAAATATAAATTTATAACTTAACAATATAATTTACAATTAAACCATAAATTCTAAAATTTGAACTTAAGACCAAAAAATTGAACATTAAATTTGTAATTTAACTCGGATGTTGGTGAATTAGTTTTCCAAAATTTAAATTAGAGATGTTGGTGGATGGTTTTTGTTGTTTAATTTTGTTTAAGGTCTATACTAATTTTTACTTTCGTATAGTATAGTTGAACTTGTTCTTAAAAAAACAATACTATTCACTATTTTTATATTTTTAAAATTCTAATCAAATCCAAAAAAGTTAGTTTTTTTTAGAATCAAAATATTACATTAATATATATATTAAGAAAAAGTAGAAACAACAAATCATAAGAGAGAGAAGTTAAAGATTGAGGAAGACTATTTTAGTCTTTTTTATCTCTAAACATTGATAATTAGTAAAGACAATAGTTATTTAGTGAATTATTTGAATAGCATGGCTATATTTTTTTATGATTCCCCATATGATTATTGGACAAATTGACCCTAGATTTTATGGTTAGTGTAATAAAGATATATTTTATTCTAGTACGAGAAACATTTCACCAACAAAGTTATAAACCATATAAATTTCTTATTTATTGTACATGTCAATGGTTCGTTTAGCCAAATGAATTCCGAATTAATTAAAATAAAAATCTGATTTTTAATTGGAGTTTTGATGAAGAAATTGATGAAGAAAGTGTCACATTCCTCCGATTCTTCTTCTTCACCGTTCATCGAATTTCTCTCTTTTCTTTTCCTCATTCGATTGAAATTCCTCTCCTTTCTTCGCACCTGGAAGCTTTAAGATCAGCATTACCCGTATAGATCCATCCAATGTTGTCTCTGATTTCTGATTTCTGATGGGTCTCGTCGAGATGTAGAAGAAAACTGGCAGATGTTGACAATGGAGAAAGAATTTGATTCAAAGCTTGTTCTTCAAGGGAATTCATCAAACGGTCAAACTATTTCCAGAAGCAAAAGCTTCGCATTTAAAGCTCCTCAAGAGAATTTCACCATCCAGGATTTCGAGCTCGACAAGATCTATGGCGTTGGCTCTTATTCCAAGGTTTGATTTACATTTTGTTTCTTCTGCAATTGGGTTTCATTCATGAATCATTTCACACGATTTTCTTCATGAATCTGATGCTTGTTGATTCATAGTTTCAAGTTACTTTAGCTTGATTTGAATTATGGATAATGGAATCAGGTTGTTAGGGCGAAGAGGAAGGAAAATGGAACAGTGTATGCTTTGAAGATCATGGACAAGAAATTTATCACCAAGGAGAATAAAACAGCTTATGTCAAATTGGAAAGGATTGTTCTTGATCAACTCGAGCATCCCGGGATTGTGAAGCTCTTCTTTACATTTCAAGATACATTCTCACTATGTAGGTAGTTTTTACACAAGTGGCTTTTTTGTTTCAATAGACTATAAATCTTGTTCACTCTCTGTTGCTTGATGGAATGTGGTATGTCATTGTGAGTGATCTTGGTCGTTAACGTTTTTGTAGACATGGCGCTTGAATCTTGCGAAGGTGGGGAACTTTTCGACCAAATTACCAGAGTAAGATAGTATTCAGAATCTGTGAGATTGATTCGTGTTCTCTAAATGTAGTTGCATTATTGATCTTTCTTGTTTTGTTTTTGGCAGAAAGGTCGCCTATCAGAGGATGAAGCTCGGTTCTACAGTGCAGAAGTTGTGGATGCTCTTGAGTATATACATAATATGGGACTGATACATCGAGATATTAAGGTAGCTTCGTTTTTACATTAAGTTTCTTTTAAGACCCAACAAGGACACTATTGCTAACATTTTCCTTGTACTGTGAATGAGTAGCCGGAAAATCTGTTGCTAACTTCAGATGGACACATTAAGATTGCTGATTTTGGTAGTGTAAAGCCAATGCAAGACAGCTTAATCACAGTGCTTCCTAATGCAGCTTCCGGTAAGATGAAGTTCATTATCCTTTTTTATATTCTTGAGCTTAAGGTCTTTTTGATAGTCGTTTCTTTTTCGGGTTATTAAACCTGTCTGTAAACTGGCGACTTATGCAGATGATAAGGCGTGCACATTTGTCGGGACAGCTGCATATGTTCCTCCTGAAGTTCTCAACTCCTCTCCAGCAACTTTCGGGTAAGACTTTTATGTTAGAACAAACTTTTCACCACTTAGTGATGTAGATATGGAGCTTTTGGTTTTGACGTAGCCTTTTGGTTCTGTGGATTACTACATGAGTCTTACTTAGAACAATTTTCTTTGGTAATTCTGGAACATATTCAAACAGAAATGATCTCTGGGCACTTGGCTGCACTCTGTACCAAATGCTTTCAGGAACTTCTCCATTCAAGGATGCAAGTGAATGGCTGATTTTCCAAAGAATTATAGCAAGAGATATAAAGTTCCCAAATCATTTCTCAGAAGCAGCAAGAGACCTCATCGACCGATTACTAGTAAGATATGCTTCACTTTATACCCAGTCTTTGCTAAATCAGGGATCATGAGGCAACCTCAAAAGCCATTGTCATCAATCGTTTCTGTTGTGGCTATGGTTTATCTCAGGATACAGATCCTAGTAGAAGACCAGGAGCTGGATCAGAAGGTTATGATTCTCTCAAGAGACATCCTTTCTTCAAGGGCGTAGACTGGGAAAACCTACGGTCACAAACTCCTCCAAAACTAGCTCTAGATCCTGCGGTAATTACTTCCTTATAAACTTGTAACTGCCGAGCCAAAATGTTTCCGCCTTGCGCTTTTCTTGATCCAGTTTTATCTATTGCAGTCTCAATCAGCATCGCCAGAGAGAGACGGTTTTCCATGGAACCCAACACTTGTTGGAGATACTTCAGTCATGCATAATGATGGACACGGTGGCCTCCCTTCAGCTTCTGAATCATCAGGTTCCATAACCCGGCTTGCCTCCATAGACTCTTTTGATTCGAGATGGTGAGACACACTACTAGGCTTTACTCAAATCAAATCTATCCCGGGTTTTCTTATGTTTGTTTTGTAACAGGCAACAGTTTCTTGAACCGGGAGAATCGGTTCTAATGATATCAGCAGTAAAGAAGCTACAGAAAATCACCAGTAAGAAAGTGCAGCTAATACTCACCAACAAACCGAGACTGATCTACGTTGATCCATCAAAGCTAGTCGTGAAAGGGAATATAATCTGGTCTGATAACTCCAACGACCTCAACGTTCAAGTCTCAAGTCCTTCGCATTTCAAGATCTGCACAGTAAGACTCAAATCCTATGGCTGTCAGTTCTTTTCCTTTCTCGGCGATGAAATCAAACTTGATAGTTTATTCTTTTTGGCAGCCGAAGAAGGTTTTATCGTTTGAAGACGCGAAACAGCGAGCTTTGCAATGGAAAAAGGCGATCGAAGCTATTCAAAACCGTTGAGTTTCAGTAGCCGATGATGTCAATTCATTTGTTTTTTGTTTTTTCTTTCTTTTAAATTCAATTGATTACTACTACATCTTGTTGTATGCATGGAGAAGAAGAGTCTTCTCTGCATTCAAAGACGTTTCTTGATCCTGGAAGATGATAATTAAGAGTTACATTATACTTGTTCCACCAAAGGCTGTTCCTTACGGAACTTTTGTGTCCACGATTCATGAATGACAATAACCAAAGTATAACCTAAGCTAGTACGGAATTTTATCAATTTCGATTCTCTACCATGAATAATAAATATATAAGAAAATTTAAAGACTAATAATAATCGATTTATATATATCAAACTGTACATCACTTTCAAACTTATTCATTTGAATCAAAAAGAATCATAGGTCTAAAGTAAATATTGGTTAAGAAAAATAAAAATAATAGCGAGAAATGTATAAGCCTCTATACATTTTTCTGCTTTTAGCTATACATAAAATAAAGATCAGAGACTCCATTGTTCCCAAAATTCAGGGTGTCAGTTTTTATGGTTATGCTTCCGCCTTTTTCTTACGGTTTTCTTTATTGATGATTTCTGATCCTCCATTGCCTTTATTCTGTTAAAAATTACAGCTTCCTTAGGGATTTTGATTACTTCATTCAGACTGGAAATAGCTATCGTAGATGGAAAGCCGATCAAACGCATCAAAGTTAGCTTTTAACCCGACTAACTGACTTCCGAGATGAGCACATCCCGCTTCTGGCCATCGACATACTCCTTCTCTTGTACGCAATGGACACAAAGCTTCACAAACTCGTCCCATCGGGTTTTCTGATTTGTATTCTTCAGACATTAGTGAGATTGATACAGAAACATCTGAGTTGTTCCCATGTCTGTTTCGCCTCCTAGGGTTATTACGCTCCAGAGAGCATGTCTTTGGGTCGTCTTCAACATCAGATGTGGTGAAGTTAATCTTGCAACCGAGTGATTGTACGGCTCGGGTTAAAGCTGTGTATTCCTTGGTGGCTCGGTTTGCTGATTCTCTAACGGACCAACCCATATGCCTTTCTCTTAGCAACTCTGCACTTAATGACTCCATCGCAAAAGTTATCTCATCCACTCTTCTTTCCGCTGCTGCTTTCTCCTGTTTCAAATCAAGTCAAAATGTTAAAAAACTTTGAAACACGGATCAGATGTTGAAAGGGATCAGATGTTACCTTTTGCATTTCAGAATACTTCACTGTCATGGCTCTACACTGGACCTCGATATCTGCAGCTTTAGCTTCATCGGGACAAGCCCACCGGAGATGGAACTGGGGCCAAAGGGTAGGTGCTAAAGATGCTGCTGGAGGTAATAATGGGCCATCGTATTTCAAAGGATCATAGAACGGGTTACAATGGGCATGAGAAGTTGCACCAGATGAACGCAGATCAGTTAAGTATGCCCATATGCATCCACATGCTTCAGCAATCCCACATTGCTGCCTCTCTTTTTCACTGAAATTTACAAAAAATGGTTTCAGAATCACTTCCTTTGGAGCATCAAACTTTTCGATATAAACCTTGCATATGAACTAAATTCCATTGCACATGGACTCAAAGGGAATGCAAAAGAAAGATTACCTGTTGCATAAGAAGTTCCCAAAACGACATGAAAGCAAGCAATCCATGAAATCTACCAGGAAAGTCTGCAACACCACATTAGAAGGCCAATGAGTAATGTTATTACTAGAAGAAGTTGAATGTGAAATTGGCAGGAATGTGTTAGCCTTCATACATACCGGAGAAAACTCAAAAGCACAAGGATACATCCGCATTATCTGTGAAACGCTATCAACCCACTGGAAACACATAGATGTGAACACTGTATAAGCTGTTGTTTGCCAACCCATCGAAATATATCTGAACAGACCAAAAAGATTATTATCATTGAAAGGAATAGCTGATCGCTCACCTGTGTGAAAATTGGTGAATAATTGTTTTGCGCATGGGAAGAAGAGCTTGAAGATTGTGAGGCTGCTGATCCTGAAGACTGGCGCACAGGAGACGAAGGGAAACTTCCAGAAGAAGAAGACTGTCTTGGTAAGTCAAAATTACCAGGTCCTGATATGTTAGGCATTCCTACACGATCCGAAAATGGGTGACCAAAAGCAAGCCAATCTTTTTCGACAAGAGCCTGATGTGAGGTCAAATAGAAAAAACTACATAAGACAAGGGGTGTAGCAAACAAAAATCTCATATAGAATGTTGATGCACAATTAGTTGGAAAGAACATATGAATGATATGGTAACATCTTCATCGGGTGCAGGTACTCCCACTCAATAGATAATCATTAACAAACACGTCTAGCAACCAATTTCACAGAGCTAACATATTCGTGAGAAATCAAAGCAAGCTTCAACTAAAACCCGAACTAGATAAATACAAAAACAATAACCTGGAAACACCAAAATGAGCGCAAGGAATACCTGAAACCCAGCAAATGTCCTGTAGTATGGATCAAGCAATAAACTTGCAAGAGAAACCAGCTGCGTGGTTCTGTCCCATCCATCACTGCACAGTGACATAGACTATAAGATTCATGAAATAACAAAAAAATACTCAACAGTAACCAGCCTGTTGTTCATCCTGATAATAATAGAAGCCTTAAAACAGATGCATCTTCATCTTGTCACAAAGATAGAAACTGGTATCCGAGTAAACAGTTGGGTGATGATGTGATTTCAAGATAGCTAACCTGCAGTGCACTAGAACTGATGCCGACTCCATTGCAACACGTGCAGCAATCCATGCTGCACCAGCTAAGACGTTCTGGATGTGTATCAACCAACCACTGTCTCCAAGTAAAGACACGGAAGCAGACATACTACTAAGATTACCTCCTCCCCAAGTCCAACCACCATGTCTCTGCAGATTCACGCATATATATATATCTTAATGATTAGCAACATAAGTAAGAAACAAAAGTGTAATAGATCAATATTGTATCCTCTAAAGGAACTTTGTCAAAAAAAATTGATACATTATGAAACTATGTGCTTTTGAATGAAGTTCTCATTGGCTTATAAAATCCAAAGACCTCATCAACTTTGATTGAACGAAGGACATTCATTTCATTGCTGAAACTATCTTAAGGTCATGTGCTAGTGAGACAGTTGAAAACGCATCATTGAGATGTCGAAAGAAAAGTGCAATAATTATACCAACTTCAATTACAGAGAGTTCCTGGATATTATTCAGTACTTACCAAGAACGATGACCTCCCATCAGATGATGCTGTACCGTGCATATCTAAATAATCTCTAATGCGGGAAAAGCTCTCCCTCATTGCATGAATGTTGTCTATGCCAAAGAAAACAATCTGAAGAAAGAAACACCGTCACTTAAATCCAGCAATTTCAGAAGATCAAGACTTTAAGCATCAAATCACCAAAGATCATTTACTGACTTGAGACTGAAAATAATTTGAAGATGATTCTGAGCCGCCTCCCATTGCTCCATTTGCTAATGCATTTTTCCTAGGCCTCGCATCGGCGATATAAAGCTTCCTGCGAAGGGAAAAAGAAAAGATGAGTTGTGTATCTTTTTTAGCATCAACCATACGGAATGAGTTTAACACATCCTTGTGAATGGGAAACCACTGTCAACCATATTGGATATTCAACAACAACAAAAAGGTATTTTCATTGCAGCCAAGAGCTTTTAATGCATGCAGAAGATAATCACACGTCCAGCAAGACCAACTAGAGTGTTAATTTCCCAATGTTAGATGCATTCGTGATTCATAATTTCCATCTTTTATAACGACACATTAAATACAAGACAGGTAAGAGTTAACAGATCAAGAGAACGTCAGATGCTCACCTTCGTTCACCTTTCTCACCAGCTAACTGTGAGCAGAATGCAGCAACAAGTTTTTCATCAAAATTACTGTCAAGATAAGTGAAACAAATCAAACTTCAGAATCTATCCTTTCAAGAACTTCGAAATCCGAAATTACAGCTAAACTATTATCCAAATGTCTCCTCGTGAAATTCTGATATACCTCCTCATATTCATCATAAGACCCACTAAAGGTTGTGATGAGCGTGCAATTACAGCTCCACTGCCTGAGTCGAGATCAAAAGCAGCATGTCAGTGTGGAAGCAATACCACCAAAACTAAAATGCAAGCAACCAAAATATTTGCATTTCTACCAGGCTGGCACCACGTGATCACAGGTAAGCGACATTTTGCTCTGAAAGAACACGCCTGGAGCAACTCTTCATCACTATAAGCAACAGTGATATGTTAGTTTTTTTTTTTTTTTTAATCAATACTCACTAGAAAGATGATTTAGTTTCAACACGGAAACAGCAGACATTCCGAATCAGTAAAGAGGATTTTTTTTTTTGCAAAGCTTGTAAGGGATTCCAGTGTCATACCTTATAGATTTTGGAACCATAAAAGCAAATGGATAAGTCTGACACAAGTTATAGTTGGAGTTCAAGTCACTTATCCGCCACATCTCATTGGACAATGTGAATGATCCATCTTCAATCATATCCATCGATGCTCGTAATGAACTCTTTCCGAGAAGACGGAAATATTCATTAAGCAATCTCTCCTTTGGGTTGGCGTTACCAAATTTAGAAGGCCCACATGCAAAAGTATAAAGATCCCATACTCTCTCCGGCTTGGTCCACCTCAGTAATGCATCAAACACAGTACGTCTCTGCAAAAGTATGAAATTAGGTTATACAGATTTCAAGGAAAAATGAGTAAGGCAGCATAAGCAGGAAGTAAGAGTTTCACCTGCTTAGTTTTAGGACGAAACCCATAAACAACTATCCTCATGTCTTTGCCTGCAACATGCAGTATCACAGCATATTATGTCAAGATAGAGGACGTATCAAACATAGCTGTAAGAAAACACTATAACCAACGTCAATGTGAAATGTCTATTGTCTAAGATAATACTGAGACATCAAGAATCAATGAAAAAACAAAACAAAATTAAACATCCTAGTAAAATTT